GCAAAGTGAGAGAAAAGCTTTTATCTGTGTGTATGTGCTAATAATATAAAAGACTATGACCTCAACCAGCTTCTTGAAGCACCAGTGCAGTACTTCTAAACATTATAGCTACATGGTAGCTTGACACTTTTTAACACCCAGTGATGGAAAAAATAGGACAAATGTATTACTTTTACTACATTCACTTATTACCGAAAATTATTTTTGCCACTACGACACCAGCCCACTCTTAGTGAAACATGACCCTTGAAAGTATTTTATTCAAAATATATTGCCTGGCAGTCTGATCTTTATTAAGTTTTTCGTTTATCTCACCATCACAGAGGTTAGGTTTAGTGCTGATAATAAATTTCATTTATGAAAAAATAATGTTAAAAACACTGAAAATCAAAATCTTACACTGAACTTGCCGTATCTCCTGTTTTAGTGTGGGGAGTAGGCATTTAAAAAGTAACATCTTAAATTTTGTTACATTGGTCCACAATGTCAGAGGCAGATGCTGGCAGTTTTGCAGTGGAAGTTGAACCTTCCCACCATTATTTAATATATTACCATATTATTACCAATATTATACTACTATCATATTCCATTACATTTTGTGCCACATGACAGATGGCAGCAGAGAGGCAGTCTGACAAAATGACATTTTCCTCTTTGCGGAAAAAAAATGGCGTACAGTGACATTCATTGTTGCTTGCTGAACCCCTGTGGACAACAAAGAGTGGATGTGAGCCCAGAGAGGTGGTGAGTTGTGTGTTTCAGCAGTAGCAACAGTGAAAGATGAGCTATGTTCCAAATGACCATGCACAGCTGTCACAAAATGTACACTTCTATACACCCCTGCAAGTGTCATATTTATAACTTGCATAGATCACTAGCTGCACTAAATTAAACTCTAAAAATTTTGAAGGTAATACTAAAAGCAGAAGCAAAAAAAGCTGCACAGGTGATACTTCTACTGCTGACATAATTTCTTGTTACCTTGTAATGTAGTTGGACAATGAAAACCAAATCAGATTTGATAAGAATTCAAATTGTCAAGCAGGTTATTTGAAATACAAATTTACAATCAACATTGTTAACAATGACCTCCAGTCTAAGTGTATGCTGTGTATTGAGATTTTAGCTAATGACCATAGGAAATCATCAGTATTAGCAATACACTTAAAATAAATATGCAGAACATGAAAACAAACCTATGCAACTTTTTTTCCAGTGATGTTGGAAAAGTCATGCAAATCTCACTGCAAAACTTCACTTAAACAGAATGATAAATTTTAAGAAACTTCAGAAACTTCATTATCTTCTAATGCAGAAGATAAAACACTACATAACACTGAGAACACATCCTGTGGTAACAATGACTAGAATAATTCATATAAAATGTTATCTCTTTGTTAGCAAATTCTGCTGTAAAATAAACTGAAAATATTGCAGAAGATTTAAATTAATAACTACTAAAATAAATTATAAGTTATAGAATAAATTAGAAGTTTGCTATGAAATGAGAGGTTTAGGCTTATGGTATTGGCTAGATTGTTTAAATGATTAAATACTTTTCAAAAACTATTTGTTGGTGAGCCACTATGGGAAAGTTAGCATCACAAAATCATTAAGGTTGGAAATGACCTACAAGATCATCTAGTCCAAATGTCAACCCATCACCACTATGCTTACCAAACAATGTCCCTCAGTGCCACATCTACATATTTCTTAACATTTCCAGGTGACTCCATCACTTCTCAGGGTAGCCTGTTGCAATTCATTACTTCTCTTTCTAAGATGAAACTTCTCCAAATAACCAACCTGAACCTCCCATGGCACAACTTGAGGCCATTACCTCTCATCTTGTCTCTAGTTACCCAGGAGAAGAGTACAAACCCCACCTCACCTCACTCAGTTGTAGGCAGTTGTGGGGAATGATAAGGTCTCCCCTGACCCTCCTCTTTTCCAGACTAAACAATCCCAGTTCCCTCAGCCACTCCTAAGACTTGTGCTCCAGACTCCTCACCAGACTCATTGCCCTTCTCTGGACACATTCCAGAACCTCAATGTCTTTCTAGTAGTGATGGGCCCAAGACTGAACATAGTACTTGAGGAACAGCCTCACCAGAGCGATGATCATCATCCTAGTCCCGCTGACTACAAGCTGGGATGTTATTGACCTTCTTAGCCACCTGGGCACACTGCTGGTTCATATTAAGTCAAGTGCCAACCAACGTCCTCAGACTGCTTTCCTCTATGCAGCCTTCCAGCCACTCTGCTCTAATCCTGTAGGGGAGAAGATGTCTTCTCTGTCCCTCCAAGGTTAGAATGACATTTCAGAAATTAAGTCAGAATGTAACTGCTTTTCTGGAAGAAACTCATTTATATGGAAAGAACATTTTGAAAACAGTTTAAAATATTTCCATCATCATGTGATTTTGTACAGCTTGGTGAGCATACTGCTTTCTGGACAGAATTGGTATACAAGACACTGAAATACAAGTTCATTGAATGCTTACCTTGTTGATCTGATTCTGCATTTCATGAAACCAAAGCACTAATTGCTGGGAATGTAATGCTTGACATGGCTGCTACTGCTCCTGCTGCCCACATCATCCTGTTTTAAGTACATAATTTGAAGTAAAAATTAGAATGCCCATGTAATTATTCTTCCATGTCACGTCCCACACTCTCAAAGAGCCATAAGGACACTCTCATTTAATGCCTTTTCAAAAATATATTAATTATTACACTATTTAATTAATAGTAATTAGCTGCTCAGGGCATCATTCTTGTTTCCATCTGACCTTCTTAAAACAAAAGCTTCTGTAGATTCAAATATGAAGAGAAGAACAAGAAGTGAATACAAGTAAAGTGCTGTACTAACTTGCTGTTTCCCAAGCCTATACAAACAACATTTTTAATAAGGTCTTTCTTTGACAAAGTTTAACTTGTTTGATTGAGTTTACATGGCAAGGTCTTGGAAACAAAGGTGCTGTAAGGCTGGCCTCTCTGTAAAAGAGTGAAAAAATGAGAAAAAGCCTGCAGGCACTAAGGTCAGTGCACAGGGAAGTTAGAAGGTGCTCCAGATAGAGAGCAAAAGCTCCCTAGAGCCCAGGAAAGGCCCAAGGTGGAGCAGGCTGTCCCCCAGCAGCCCATGGGGGCCATACAGAGCAGTTCTCTACTGCAGCCCACAGATAAGCCCATTTCAGAGTGAATGGATCTGACCTGCAGGAAGCTGCAACTTAGCCCACAGAATAGATGACTCAGCTGCCAGGACCTCAATACATGCAAGGGACCCCAGAAGTAAAGGACAACAAGAAATATTTCTAAAAATATATCAACAGGAAGAGAAGCCGAGGGAGAATCTTCATCCCTGCTGAACACCAAAGGCAACTTGGTGACCAAGGATCAAGTTAAGGCTGAGGTACTTAATGCTTTCTTTGCCTCAGTCTTTAATAGTAAGACTAGATGTTCCCTGGGAACACAGCTCTTGCACTGGTAGATTGGGATGGGGAATAGAATAGGCCCTGCATAATCAATGAGGAAATACTTTTGGACCTGCTCCGAAAGCTGGATGCTCATAAGTCTATGGATATGGATGGATTGTAACCTAGAGTGCTGAGGGAGTTGGCAGATGTGGCTGTCAAGCCACTCTCCATCATTCTTCAGCAGTCCTAGCTAACTGCAAATATCCTGGTGGATTGGAGACTGGTGAATGTGACATCCATGTTCAAAAAAAGGGCAAGATAATCCCAATAGCTACAAACCTATCAGTCTCACCTCAGTGCCAGGGCAGATTATGGAACGGATAATCTTGGGAGCCATCATGGACCAACCGAAAGTCAACCAAGGGATCAGGCCCAATCAGCATTGGTTCATGAATGGTAGATCCTATTTCACAAACCTGATTTCATTCTATGACAAGGTGACCTGCTTAGCGGATAAAGGTAAGGCTGTTGACATGATCTACCTAGACATCAGTAAAGCCCAACTGCATTCAACTGCATTAGTATGAAGAGTTTTATTATCTTTTTTAAAAAATGTTAAACTATATTAAACTAAATTATTTTTCACCCGCAATAATTAAGTACTACAAGCAAATTTTGAACACAACTACCCACACTGCACTCTGAAATATATGGCTTCTCGTAAACAGGAGAGTTGGCCAGTGAGCAAGCAAAATCAGTGGTAATTTTCAGAAATGTGTGCTCCTGTATGAATCACTCAGACCATAAAGCTCATGCTAAATTATGAAGTGCAAAATAGCTTCACTGCTATTTCATGTTTCCCCAAGAAGTTCAGCAGGTTCAGACTCCTAATGAAAAGCAAATATTAACTAACTAAGCAGTGAAGCATACTAAGGAAATTATTTTCACTTTTTCTAGCACAAATATAGAATCAAAAAAATAGAGTTCAGAGAGACCTTAAAAGACCATCACATCCACTGGTTTGTAGGAAAAGGAAGCCTACATGAAATTATTCAGCACCCTGTCCAATTGCACCTTAGAATCCCTACCAATTGAGGTTTTCACCCTGTCCCTGGGGAAATGTCATGATTTTATGATTTTGTTATTTGTATTCCACATCATAACATCATGCAGTGCACTGAAAATTAAAGAGTTGTTGCTCCAGTTCAAATTGTCTATATTTCTGGGTACCTGGTTCTCAGAAGAGAAGAACTCCTACATATCCCAGAGGACTTTCACTGTTTCATTTCCATTTTCCGTTTAGAGGGAAAGATAAAACTGCTTGCTAGACACAAGACTGCCCTTCTTTTACTTCTTATCTCTGTGGTGTGTGCTCCCTAGCCACCTCACCTTCATTTACTCATATTAAAGTAAACAAAGTTCAGTTCTGGACACTCTCTATTTATTAGCTTCAATTCCAATTACATTTTATTGTATTGTGCTATCTGACATTCTGCTGTCATATTTAGTTAATTAGTTTTTTCCCTTAGCTCTTCACTGGTTCTTAGGCCAATTTCCCTACCTTTTCCCTTTTCCCCCTTGTTGCCGAACAGGGTCTGCAGGGGCCCCTCGGCCCCTGCGAAACCATGACAACAAATGGCCTGAAGATAAGAAGGAAGAGCAAGAAGGACCAAATAAGGAAGAAACAGGACATTCCACATGTCCATTGGCCAGGAGACGACCCTGAGGCATTCCACCCTCGGGTAGTTGCTAATAGTAACCAGATAGGGAAGTTATACGTGGAGTCAGAGGGGCGTAGACGAAGTTGTACAAGGCTATATAAGTTCCTGTCGTGATCAAATAAACGCCATTTTACCACCCACCACATTGGTGTGCACCGAGGTAGATGGACAGACCGATGAGTCCCTAACGATTGCGAACACCTGTATGAAGCCTTTTGCAGGCGGAAGGCTTCATTTGGTGACCCCGACGTGATAGTTAGGGAATAGTGGTCAGCCACAGGCGGCGTGGCGTTCCTGCTCTCTTCCGTCTCCCTTGGGGAAGGAGACGATGACCCTTGCGTAGGGGGCTGCGGCTTAGGAGAGTGGAAGCTGGGTAGCGTCGGAGGGGGCTCTACGGCCGGGAGCCTGCTTAACCTGCCGAGGACCCAGGAAACCATCGGAAGAGGTGCCCGGTGGTTGTGTGATCCGCGGGAGAGGACGTCCGGCGGAGTGAATATGGAGGCCGTCATAAAGGTGATTTCGTCCGCGTGTAAGACCCATTGCGGGAAAAATTCTCCTTCTAAGAAGGAAATAGGGGCAATGTTGTCTCTTTTACAAAAGGAGGGACTGCTAACATCTCCCTCAGATTTGTATTCCCCGGGGTCCTGGGATCCCATCACCGCAGCGCTTTCCCAACGGGTGATGGAACTCGGGAAGTCGGAGGAGTTGAGGACCTGGGGACTGGTTTTGAAGGCACTGAAGGCAGTGCGGGAGGAACAGGTTACATCTGGACAGGCGAAGCTTTTGTTGGGCTTGGGGGGAGGGAAGGTCTCTCCCACAGATTCCGCAGGAAAGTCAACTACTGAGCCTCAGACTGGCGAGGAGGAAAAGAAAACGGCTGCACAGCAAGAATCGAAGATGGCGCCGGGAGAGGTGACCACGCCCAAAACCGTTGAGGCGATCACGCCTAAAACCGTTGGTACATCCTGTTATCGTTGCGGGACAGATGTTGGCTGCAGTTGCGCCACCGCTGCCCCCTCCGCCCCTCCTCCTTATGTGGGGAGTGGCTTGTATCCTTCTTTGGAGGGGTTGGGAGGGCCGGAGGGGGAGGGCGTGACCACGTCAACGGCGGGGCGGGACGGTACGCCCCGAGGGGTGGAACAAAAGGCGGAGTTAGGACGCCCTGATCCGGCCCCTGGGCCAGCCCTGACTGATTGGGCAAGGATCAGGGAGGAGCTTACAACGGCGGCCCCGTCTGTGGTGGCCATGCCCGTTGTTATAAAAACAGAGGGACCGGCTTGGACCCCTCTGGAGCCAAAATTGATTATGCGATTAGCCGACACAGTCAGGTCTAAAGGTTTACGATCTCCGATTACTATGGCAGAAGTGGAAGCTATTATGTCTTCCCCGCTGCTGCCGCATGATGTTACGAATCTTATGAGGGTCATATTAGCCCCCGCCCAATATGCTCTGTGGATGGATGCTTGGGACGTCCAGCTACAGACGGTCGTAGCGGCGGCTACCCGAGACCCTCGACACCCCGCGAATGGTCAAGGGCGGGGGGAACGAACTAACCTGGATCGCTTAAATGGCAAAGCGGATGGAATGGCCGGGAATCCGGAGGGCCAAGCCGCGCTTTTGAGACCGGGGGAGTTGGTAGCTATCACGGCGTCGGCTCTCCAGGCGTTCAGAGAGGTCGCCCGGTTAGCGGAGCCTACAAACCCTTGGGCGGATATCACACAGGGGCCATCTGAGTCCTTTGTGGATTTTGCCAATCGCCTTATAAAGGCGGTTGAGGGGTCGGACCTTCCATCTTTGGCACGAGCCCCTGTAATTATTGACTGCCTTAGACAGAAGTCACACCCGGATGTCCAACAGCTCTTACGAGCAGCGCCCTCCACACTCACGACACCGGGAGAGATAATTAAATATGTTTTAGACAGACAGAAGGCTGTTCCGTTCACGGACCAAGGAGTAGCGTCGGCCGTGTCCTCGGCCGTGTCATCGGCCATCCAACCCTTAGTCATGGCGGTAGTCAACAAGGAAAGGGACGGACGCGGTGGATCGGGTGATCGCGTTCGGGGGCGTTGTTACTCCTGTGGATCCCAGGGGCACTATCAGGCGCAATGCCCTAAAGGCAAAAGACCAGGGGGTAGCCGTGGGCGATGTCAGCTATGTGAAGGGCTGGGGCACACTGCTAGATCATGTCGGAGGTCCCCACGGGAGGCAGGCGCAGGTCAGAGTCATCAGCTAGAAAAGGGGTCCTCCCCAGGGACATGGCTTCCTTCAACCCAGCCTACTGTGTCGCTGGCAATGACCATGGAACACAAGGATCGCCCCTTGGTCAGGGTTGTGTTAACTAATACAGGTAGTTGTCCTGTGAAGCAGCGTACGACGTATATCACGGCATTATTGGATTCCGGAGCTGACGTTACCATTATTTCAGAGGATGACTGGCCCGCAGACTGGCCATTGATGCAAGCCGCGAGTACGCAAGTTTACGGGATAGGAGGGGGAATCCCTATGCGGAAATCTCGAGAGATGATTGAGGCATTTCTGTTTGGGTACCCTGGGGAAGCGAGCAAGAAAGATCTGGAAAAGAAGCCGGCGGAGACAAGCAAGAAAGATCCGGAGAAGACACCCTTGCTGCCGACGAGAATTGATGGGAGAATTGATGGAATCACAGTGTTTGTCTGTTTATTGATTTTGTATGGGACTACGGGAGTAGACGCAGATGTACATCTATTAGAACAGCTGGGGAACCTTTGGGTCACTTGGGCGAACCGTACAGGCCAGACAGATTTTTGTCTCTCTACGCAGTCAGCCACTTCACCGTTTCAAACATGTTTAGTTGGTGTCCCGATAGAGATTCGAGAACAGGACTTCGGAGGGTATGTCTATGACACTAACTGCAAAGATTTAGGGCGAGACAGGCTTATCATGTCAGCTGAAATCACGGGTAGCCTTAATGATAGTATTACCCTTGACTATCCGAAAGTGATTTGTTTACTAACAAAATTGAATGTCTCCCTCTGGGATGATCCGCCAGAGCTACAGCTATTAGGCTCTCAATCCCTTCCTAATATCAACAACGCCCCTAATGCCGCTGATAACATACCCCCTATGGCTGGAAGGTGTATAGGATTCGCCCCAGACTCAGACCCTGCCGGCATCTACGGATGGAATCGTAAGCAGGTAATGCGTAATTTCCAGATAGCCCCGTGGTTTAATCCCTTTTTTGACCCTAAAACCAACTCCTCTGAACCATTTACAGTAGTGACAGCAGATAGATACACATTTTTCACGGGGGGGGGAATATTGCGGTAGATACGAACACAGATACTGGGAATTGAGCAATTGCACTGAGAGGAAACAGGATTCCTTTTCCATCTACACATGCACAGCTCGGGGACTGACTACACAAAGCTCACGCCCTCCCTGGAAACAGTGTGAAAGAATGGGGGGTAATTGGATCAATAGTACACAGTCTTTTAACGTGAGTGAATTTTCTGGTACAAATGTACAGATATCCTGTAAGGGTGATCGTCTTGGCAACGCCAGTGGATGTTGCGGGAGGACTGCTACAATTCTTCCACCAGGGGCATGGGCTAACTGTAAAAGTAGGGGTTTCACTAAGCCAAAAGCACTACCACCTAACATCTTTCTCATCTGTGGGGACCGCGCGTGGCAAGGAATCCCAAGTCATCCGGTAGGGGGTCCTTGCTACTTAGGGAAACTTACTATGCTAGCACCTAATCACACGGAGATCCTTAAAATGCTCGCCAACACACAACGAGCAGCGATAAGACGCAGACGAAGTATATCACGATTGGACAGTACGTGCTCGGACGAAGTACAACTCTGGAGCGCCACGGCAAGGATCTTCGCGTCCATCCTGGCCCCGGGGGTAGCAGCTGCACAAGCCTTGAGGGAAATCGAGAGACTGGCTTGTTGGTCCGTTAAGCAGGCCAATTTAACAACGTCACTCCTCGGGGATTTACTAATGGATGTTACGAGCATCAGACACGCGGTCCTGCAGAACCGAGCAGCTATTGATTTCCTGCTTCTAGCTCACGGCCATGGTTGTGAGGATGTTGCGGGGATGTGTTGTTTTAATCTTAGCGACCACAGTGAATCTATACACAAGAAGTTCCAGCTTATGAAAGAACATGTTAACAAGATCGGCGCGGAAAAAGACCCGATTGGGGATTGGCTACGAGGACTGTTCGGAGGCATAGGGGAATGGGGTGTGCATTTACTGAAGGGTCTGCTTTTAGGGCTTGTAGTTATCTTGCTTTTTATAGTATGTGCACCTTGCTTTCTACAAATCATGTTAAGATGTATTCAAGGGATGGTTAATCGCACGATCAACTATCACGTAGAGTATAAGAAAATGCAAAAGGCTTCTAGGCAACCAGAAAGTGCGATAGTATAAGGTTAGTATGGGGTCATTTTGCGAATCGGGATGTAACGGGGCAAGGCTTAACTGAGAGGACAATGGCATGTATAGGCGCAATGCGGGGATTTCGGGCTGTACGCGATTAGGGTCCTCTCAGGATGTAGTAGCTTAGAATGTAGTAGTTACGCTTATGCATAGGGAGGGGGAAATGTTGCCGAACAGGGTCTGCAGGGGCCCCTCGGCCCCTGCGAAACCATGACAACAAATGGCCTGAAGATAAGAAGGAAGAGCAAGAAGGACCAAATAAGGAAGAAACAGGACATTCCACATGTCCATTGGCCAGGAGACGACCCTGAGGCATTCCACCCTCGGGTAGTTGCTAATAGTAACCAGATAGGGAAGTTATACGTGGAGTCAGAGGGGCGTAGACGAAGTTGTACAAGGCTATATAAGTTCCTGTCGTGATCAAATAAACGCCATTTTACCACCCACCACATTGGTGTGCACCGAGGTAGATGGACAGACCGATGAGTCCCTAACGATTGCGAACACCTGTATGAAGCCTTTTGCAGGCGGAAGGCTTCACCCCTTTCCCCCTCTCTGAGGATATCAGTCCATGGCACCCTCCACCCCATTTAGAATCACAGAATCATAGAATCACAAGGTTGGAAACGACCTATAAGATCATCTAGTCCAACCATCCTCCAGAAGCTACTAAACCATATCTCATGACTCCTCATCCAGACGCCTCTTGAACTCTGCCAGGGACAGCGACTCCACCACCTCCCTGGGCAGCCATTCCAGTGCCTGACCACTCTCTGAGAGAAAAAGTTTTTCCTCTTGTCCATCTTAAACCTCCTCTGGTACAACTTTGTCAACGGTTTAAGGGCTGGTTCGGCCTGGTTCCGTGACGAGCGGGGCGGAGGGATCCACAGATCCGCACCTCTGGAAAAAAGGAAACAGGGGACCCCAAAATAATTAAAAACAGCAGCACCGATCTGAGGAGAAACAAACTAATTTACTAAGCATATTATCGGAATGCAAGATAACACACTATAATGCAATATAATCAGAATTGAAGCTAATAAATCAAATATAATGAGAGAGAGAATGTCTGAAAGGTGGATAGGCCTCACCACAATGCTGAGGTGAGATGCGCAGTCCAGTTGAGCAGCAGAGAGACAGGAGCAGTGTCCACAATGAAGGGCAGGCAAGAAAGAGAACTCAAGTGACCTTGCCAGGAGTTAAATCTCCTCTCCCTGACCACAAGGTCTCCTGGGGAATGTAGTTCTTCTCTTCAGGGCAGGTACCCAGGACTTGAGCATTGACAGTTAAAGTCCCAGTGCCCCACATGATGTTATGATGTGGAATACCGAAAGCCAAAAATCACAAAACCATGACAAACTTGAAACCATTTCCCTGGTTCTGTTCATTGCCTGGGAGAAGAGGCCAAATCCCGCTTCACCACAACCTCCCTTCAAGAAGTTGTAGAGTGCAATGAGGTCTCCTCTGAGCCTCCTCTTCTCCAGACTGAACAATCCCAGCTCCCTCAGCCACTCCTCATAAGACTTGTGCTCCAGACCCCCCACCAGTTTCATTGCCCTTCTCTGGACACGTTCCAGGGCCTCAATGTCTTTCCTGTAGTGAGGGGCCCAAAACTGAACATAATACTTGAGTCACAGAACTGGACTGAACTGGCCCCACAAACTGTTGACAGGAAGTTGTTCCTTCAAAGGTCCCTTCCAATTTTAAGGATTCTACGATTCTCCCTACGAAACAAGAGCATCCATCCTCTCTTTGACCATCATTTTAAATGCTGGAAAGCTGTAAAGAGGTCCCCATTCAAGACTCTCTTCTTCAGGGTTAAAGACCTATCTCCTTCAGTCTCTCCTCACAGGGCAGGTTCTCCTGCCTTTTGACTTGCAGCCCTTCCTTGAAACCTCTCCAGTCTATCCACATTTTCTAAATATTTAGATAAAATTGGAGGGCAGTGAAAAGGTTGGAACTAAGATGGTTCCTAAGTATTTTTATCTAAATGTTTATGAATAATCTTAGTTCCAACTTTTTCACTACAGAAGCTTCCTGAGAAGAAACTGAGGTGCAAAAAAGATAGTCTGATAGGCTGTCAGGCTGATAGGCAAAAAGTCAAAGACTGTCTCTGTCACACGAAGCAATTACCAAGTTATCATCTCAGGCATGTAACTTGTACACAGCACAAAATATACTGAATACAAGTGAAAGGACTTTCCAAATACTGTAAGCATATCTGTATCTGAACAGCAAGATCATGACGCATTTTCTCAGAGAAAAGTTAAGGTAAATTATATTCCACAGTTTAAAGGTATCAGAACCACACTCATTTGAATTGAAAGAATCCATAAAGGAAAATAATGACTTAACTTTCAGAAGTTCTCAGAATGAATATTTATGGATAAGGGAGGTTAAAAAAATAGTAATAATAACAACAAATACTACTACTACTGAAAGGCCATCCACAAAGGCTCTTAATTAAGCAGAAAATGAATGAAACTATTTGAAGGAATTAAAAAAAAAAGAATTTAAAGTTTAAAAAATAAATTTAAAATTGTAAAAATAACAGCAGTTTTCACAGCACAAAGAAGTTACTAAATGAGTCCCAACATTGTCCTAGGACACATGTAGCCTGACGTATTCATAACTGAGCTTTAAAAATGTGACAAATCTGACAAAGTTCATTGATAATACAATGCAATTCAGGTTAGAAAAGTTAGATGTCTGTTGCAAAGAGCAGGAAAAGTTAGTGGAATCAGGAAAACAAAATAAATGACATTAATTAATCCAATAGAAATATGAGAAAATGTAATTCCACATACCGAATGACTGCTACTTAGGAATGACATCTTGGACAAGGCAGTTCCATAAAAGACACCAATTTAGTGGTTTTAAAAAGTACATTCAAAGACACATCATTAGGAAAACAGTTATCATTATGTTACTGCATGAACATGTGATCCTGCATGACTGTTCTTGCTAACCCCCTGCTTCTGGTGTTTAAACCATCTTTACTACATCTACATGAATATCTTCCCTTTTATCCCATAACTGCTTGTTTTTTCAGAAAGCAATGCATAGTGTCAACAGTCTACTTTATAGAAGCACAAGTGGGAGAGGCCCGCAGAAGGAACATTTCCAAGGAAATACAGGCTTCTTCAAGCTGCAGCTTCAAGCTGAAACATCTGAAAAATTACAATTGCAATTCATTAAACAGAAAATGACATAAACTGTGTGAAAACAATTGTCATTACTCCTAAGCTAAAATACAAGAAAATAAGTAAAGTAGGACTCAAGGCAGTGGGTTTATTTGTGTGGAACTACACACATTTTATTGTAAGGGTATAAAAGACCACATCTTTTTCCCCACTGAAAACACATTTCTGTTTAAGTTTAGACTAGAAAACCTCATGAAGCAGAAGTTTTCTGAGCAGTGTAAAACATAAGAAAACCACTTCTGGTTCAGTGTTTGAGCTTGATATGATTGAAACTAGGAAGAGAATCCTCAAATTAAAAAAATTTTTACAGAAGTAATACATAAAAACAGATTAACAGAATACTTAATTTCAAGTCAATTTATCCATTACTAGAAGTTTTATTCATAAAACTTAGAAAAAAATGTAAGACTAAGATTTCTCTTAAAAAGCACTGGTTATGTTCAGATTCTCAGTATAAGAATATTAAGCCTCATTTTATATAACTAAGTTTCTATTACTCTGGTCTAGCACGCTTCTCTAGAAACACAAAATTCTACGGATTGCCAGAGCCTGAAGAATTAGTAACAACAAATTCAAGACAAAAAAAAAGTGGTCCTGCTCAGAAGTCATAAACCAGAATGACTTGTTTCTGATCATGCCTGGTAATGGCTCAGAATCACTATTTTCATTTAACTTTATGTGAAAATATCATTAGCAACCTTGAAAAAGAACAGTGCATCTCTAATTATTCAGATTAAACAGTAAAAATAATTCTTGTGGAGGTCAAGAAGCACTTTGTAAAGGTCCAACTGGAGTTTATTTGCTTGTTTACTACAAGTAAACTGCTAATTGAAGTAGAACATTTACTGCAAACAAGATTTTTTTAAAAATAGCTTACTGTACTGAAAGGTGTTTTGGAAAAGTCTCATAATATTTGATTATGCCATATTAGTTTCACCACACTATTTTTCATGAAATAGTAGAAAGAAAAATGCTATCGCTAATGTTTAGAGCCTATAATTCTTAAGGTATATACTAGCCATGCATTGCTGTGTAAAGCATGTCAAAGAATAATGGCTGATACATTTTCATGATGTACAGTTTTATCCTTTAAAATTTTTTATTATGTTACCAAAACATAGAGGTCTTTGGCTTCACAACAGAAGATACATTTTATAGTATGTGAGAACAGGAGAGTAACATAAGATTAATTCATGAGAAGGGGCACACTGATATGTGTTCTCCTGAAATATATCACCTAGGGACTCCTCCGATACTATCACTTTATTTGCACAGCATAGCACTATATTTTACTTTAAAGCTTCCTTACTGGGGCATTATTTTACTGACAACAGGTAATATAACAACAAAATTCATGGTATGAATAATGTAAGGTATAGCACAAGATATAGAATATCAGTGTCCATAATGCAGATGTAACAATATTGCTTAACCAGTAAAAAAAATCCACAACATCAATTCTTTCAACTTATAAATCTTGCTGAAATCACAGTAATACAGCCAACAGAAACCAACTTAATTTCAATTGAATTTACTATTCTTAGCATTTTGAGCCAATAACTAGTTCACAAGTTATTTGCTCAGCATTTAGATTTTAGTTCCTCAGCTTAAGAAAGCCAGTGCATTCAACAGTGAGAAGTTAGCTACAAATAACATAAAAAAAAGAATCTTGTTTATATCTGAAAGATATATAAGATATACAAGGCAAACCTTGTGCAGCTCAATAGACTTGCTCATGCTTCTCTACTCCGTCACATGAAATTGGTCTGATAAAACCATCAGAATAAAAATTAAAAACATCCATCACAGAATGAAGCAGCAGCTCAGCAAAATGTCATTTCTATAATTCTTCAGCAGAAATCCAGAAGGCCAGCTTTCACTTTCAAATGCCACAGCTGCACTCCAACTGATATCAAAGAATCTCTGTCATTACATCGAAAAATCACAATTCACCCCATCAGATTTTAGTCCGAATAAGTTCTTTCAGTAATATCTCAAAGTTCATACTCTAGGGATATTACAGCCACATGAGACTCACAGGGAGATAAAGGAAGTGGAAGTAACAAAATAGGGAGTGGACTATTAAGAAAAGAACTGTGAAGCAAACCTTAAGGTGATTGAACTATAAAGATGGTATGCCAACGTACAGAAGGCTAGAGCCTCATCTTCTCTTGTAGAAGAGTCACTGCAGAAACAGGAATTCCCTTAAAGATACTGCAGATAAAGTTGGGGGAGGATCAAGCAAG